AAAGGGTGAGACCCAGAAAAAGAAAAAAATTATCGTCTGAAAGCATGAAGACTGGCACAAAGGGTTTTGCACAATTGGAGGAACTACCAGCTGAGGCCGCCCCTACAGTGAGGCTCCCCCAGGGGCTAATTTGCTGCTCCAGATCTGGTGCAGTTCAATCCCACTGTGAGTGTTCACTAATGGTCTTGGCAATTCTGCTGGAAGCGCTCTGTAAAGGCTGCTTGCCCTGGGCAGAGGACGTTACTTAAACGGGGCCCCATATTTCTCATCCTGTGAAGGAAAACTTTAACTTAGGTCCTCTTTTACACTAAGTTCTCAACATTCTACAGTAACAACAACTAAAAAGCCCGCAGACTACGCATTTTCTTAGAAAGTAGAGGGCTTTCTAACAATTAGAGCTTTCTAAAAATGGAAGGCATCGCCTGGGAAGATTGAGTTCCCTATCTCTGGACAGGATCCAGCAGATGCTGGTGACCAACTGGCTAGGACGTCACAGAAGGGACTCGGGCACTGGGAGAGGAAGGATTAGGTGACTCATAGGATCCCGTCCAGTTAAAGGATCTAAGAAAATGGAGGTGATTATCCAAGTAACTCCAGAGCGGGGAAGGTGGAAAGCACTCCTGCCTCAAATGTAATCATTTCAGGGGATAATAAATGTAGGTTTTTCAGAGTGCACCATCCTCCACAAAGACACACCCACACACTCTCATTCTCTTCCACAAACGAAGTATAAATGGTTGGAATCCCGCTAAAACAAACTCTGTGGTGTGATCCAAAAGTTTTGGAGGAATCTTTGGGCACAGGCTTCTGATCCGTGGTAACCCTCCACGAGAAAACAGGCTCTATAACAGCTTCTGCAATACAATTATCTGCGGGTGCAATATTTGCATTTGTTGGGATCAACTGACCTGTTCTCTGACAAAAAAAGAAACTACAAATGTGACTAAGCCTTTCTGAAAATCCACACAGAGAATCACAAGACGGATGTAGTAACTGTTAATTTCAAAGATAACCAAAAGAATTAGACCAGCTGTACAGTCTGGGGCAGGTTTCCCCGGTAAATGTAGAGATGTGATGCCCCATTGGTCTGGTTCCTGTATCTAAGCTCAGAGAATACTCTGTACTCCTTCACGGAACTTTGCAATTGTAACCACAAAATGAATTATCCACTTTGTTATTAATGTCTGTCTTCCATGCTCAAAGTTTCAGAAAGGCCAGGCTCTCACTGCATCCTCGGTGTCTATACCTTTACTTAGCAGATGTGGGAAGAAAAAAAAAGTATTTATTGAATAAAAGAATACTTGTTTATACAACAGCCACTATACTACCAAAGTGAAGAGACATCTGAGAATAGTGGGTATAGACAAGAATGTGGAGAATAAGAACGCTCGTGCACCGGGTGTATAAAATGGTACAACCACTTGGGGGAATTTGATATTTTCTAATGAGTTTAATGGTAAGCCCATCTTATGACCTAACAAATCTACTTCTGTGTATATATCCTAGAGAAACTAGATTTATGTACACTAGATTATATATGTATTAGAATGTTCACAGCAGCATTGTTCATAGTTGCCCCAAGTTGGATACAACCAAATATCCACCAACAGTAAAACTGATTCATGAATTGTGGTATATTCAGGCAATGGAATACTATATGACAATGAAAATGAATGAACTTAAGCCTCATGCAACAGCACAAATAAATCTCACATGGGATAGTGAGGAAAAAAAACAAAAACAAAAACAAAAACAGGACACTAAAGAATACACACTGCATGATTCCATTCATCTAAAGTGCAAAAAAAATCCAAACGGCTATTTATTTTAGGGATGCACAGGTAAGTTTCGAGTTCTAGCAAACATTCAAAGAACAGATAAATCAAAACGTACCCATACTCTCTCAAAGAAGATAAAGAAACTGGAGGCCACTACTCTACTTTGGGCAGGAGAGTAACAAGGAAAAGGGCAAGAGAAAAGCAAGAAAACCCAGTAGGAAGTTACTGCTGTAGCTTAGTTGAGACTGCCAGTCAAGAGCTGATGGGTTCCTCTACCCTTCTAGGTTCTTCCGGCTGCTCTAAAAAAGTAACTTGGCATGAGACATTAACAGGAGAAAGCGGCGATGGGTGGCCTGAGCCAGGGTGGGAGCAGGAGGGATGAAGAGGACTAAAGAGACACAACAAGACAGGAACTGGTGACAGAATAGATACAAGAGGTAAGGTGAGCATGGTACCAAGGGATACTCCTTTATTAAAAGAAGGGAAGACAGCAAAAAGACTGCAAGTCTGCAGATTATACTATGTACAATATAGCCCTAATTTTGATGTTTAAAAAGGACATGAATTTACTCTAAAAATAAATTTAGTATCAAAAAGAATAAAAAAACTGTAATGGATTAAAACACATAAAATGTTAAAACTCAGGAGTTCATCACAAAACTATAATGCAAAAGAAGGAAAAGAAGATGAAGGGTTCCAAAGGTTCTAGCATTGCTGGGATAGTGGGAAAAAAAACAAACCAAGTTAAGGATGTGTATTGTAGTCTCTAGAGTAACCTCTAAAAGAATGTAAAACTAACAACAACAACAACAACAACAACAACAAACAGGAAGGAAGACAGACGTTTCATTGATACAAAGGCAAGAGGAAAAAAAAAAAGAATATAAAATAGGTGGGTTGAATAGAAACAAAGAATAGGATGGTAGAAACGTACTGCCATTTCACAATACAAGTTAAACACCACAGGATGTTTCCAGAATGTGGGAAATTCTTTCAGACAAACAACCTGATTTCTTCAACAACTAAACTACAAGGGAAAAAAAGGAGGGGTGGTAACTCATAGATTAAGACACATACTGACCAAATGCAATGTGTGGACCACGTTTGGATACTGATTTGAATTAACCAGCTGCTTAAAAAAAAAAAGGTGACATAATCAGAGAAACGAACACTGAGTGAACAATGATTTAAAGGCATTCTTTTTAGGTGTGATAATGGCATTGTACCACTGTTTTTTTAAAAAAGATTTCTTACCTTTTGGAGATATATAACAAAGTAATGAAGAAATTACAAATGGAATGATGTTACCTGGGACTTGCTTAAAAATAGACCAGTTCTGTGAAGTGGGAGGGTGTGTGAAAGGAAAGATGACTGAGATGGGCCAGTGTGTTAACAATCATTGATCCTCAGTAATACCCATATGGGATGTATTATACTGTTCTATTTCTGTATGCATTTGAATTTTACTGGAACAGAAGGAGAAAGGGAAGGAGGAGAGATCTCTAGATAGATAAGTATGTGTAGAAAATGTTTTGGCAGGATATATTTCAAAATGTTTAAATGGTTATCTCTAGGCTAACGTGATCACAATTTTTAGAAAGTGTTACAAATTTATCATCTCTGGGTGGGGAGATTACTGGTAACTTTTAGTCTCTTTTTGCTTAGCTATGTTTTCTAATTGTTTCTACAATGAACAAACCAGAATGCTTCAAATGCTCCAAATGCTTCAAAAATTGTTTAGAAGGATAGAAGACTGCCAAAAAACAAAGAGCCTCCCACTTAAATCCACATTTCTTAACCATTTCTGGGTGCCAGTCGCTTGGCAGAATCTGATGAAACTACTGTCTCTCTCCCCAGAAAGATGCACAATCCTACAGAATTTTTCATATGACGTTATTAAGAAACTCTGAGACCTCAGATGAACCCATACTTTCTATGTTATTAGTAGTCATCATAAATAGTAATAGTTGGCTTTTATTGCACAGTTGGTATGTGCCAAGCATGGTTCTAAGTGCTTTCCAAAAGCTAACTCATTTAATCCTCCTAGCAACCCTATGAGATAGGCACTCTCATCATCCCCAATTTACAGATGAGGTGAGGTCAGAGAGGGTGAATAATTTGCACAAGGTCCCACAGCTGCTGACTGGCAGAGCCAGCATACAAACTCAGCAGCCTGGCCCTAAAGCCTTTAAAAAGTTTTTTTTTTTTTTAGTTAAAGCTGGGCTTTTAACTACCACATTAAGAGGCCACTCAGAGAGTTAAATCAAATACGGAAAGCCAAGGCAACATCCTGAATCACGCCCTGGAAAATGTCTTCAAATTCAACTAACACTAAGTGCCTACCTACCATGTGCCAGACTCACCCAGACACATAAGCTAACCCAGCCCTGGCAACAAGTGCTGTCAGGGACTTGTCCCATACACCCAGCTAACTGCTAGAAAATCAGAAGCCAAGCCTGGGGGCTTCCCTGGTGGCGCAGTGGTTAAGAATCTGCCTGCCGATGCAGGGGACACGGGTTCGAGCCCTGGTCCAGGAAGATGCCACATGCCATGGAGCAACTAAGCCCGTGCGCCACAACTACTGAGCCTGTGCGCCACAACTACCGAGCCCACATGCCACAACTACTGAAGCCCGGGCGCTCTAGGCCCTGTGTGTTGCAACTGAGCCCACGCCTAGTGCTGCTCCGCAACAAGAGAAGCCACCACAATGAGAAGCCCACGCAACACAAGGAAGGGTAGTCCCCGCTTGCCGCAACTAGAGAAAGCCCGCACACAGCAACGAAGACCCAAAGCAGCCAAAAAAAAAAAAAAAAAAAGTCAAGCCTGTCTTCTGATTTCAAGTTCACCATACACAGCTGATTCCCTTTATGTTGGGGAGGTGGTCTAAGTCACACATGACCTCCCCGTGGCCAAACTCATTTCAAGATAACCGGTGGAGGTCCAGTTCAATACTTCCAATTGGTAGACCCTAAAATTAGCCCATGATGCACAGCAATCTAGTTTTTGAGATTCTCCCTCATCACTCTACTTCAGCCAGCTGAGACGTCTTAGATGGAGGCATGCTTCCAAAAGTTTGCATCTGAGGTTCATACACATAAACAGAACGGTCTGCATATACTGAAGACAACTGCTAGGTGCTACGATACCACACTACACTCACGCACAACACAGTTAGTACAACTATACACAAGCAAATTACATGAAAGCCCTCCTGATGCTTACAGTTTCACAGTTCAAGCATCGAGTTTCATTGGTGAGCGTTCCCTGAAAAATCTCATGGACCCAGGTGAGTTCCGGTTTATTATTCTCCGCAGGTTCGTTCATGTTGCCATTTTTTAATTTTCCATTTTGCTTCTCCTGTTTCTTCTCTTCCTGCAGGATGTCCGCAATAGTGTTTAGCAAATAATTCAAAAATTCGTGAGCATCCTGCTGCATGTAGTTATCAAAGAGATCTGGAAAGGAGAGGGTCGGTATTTCAATCTCTGGCTCTTGAAAAGCAAAGAAAATGCTAATTTTACAAACCACGCTTCAATTTTTATATTGAAAGAGTGGACAGGTATGGAATATGTTCACCTCTATTTTGCAACTTCAATGGGTAAGTTTTTCAAAAATTTTTGTTCACTTCCACTTTTTACCACCCACCAAGAACTAAATTTCCCATATCTTCCCAAAGTCATCATATATATAAAAAGCTACCAACATTTTTATTTTTTCTACAAAAAAAAAAAAAGAAAAAGAAAAAGAAAAAGAACAGGAATTACTTGATAAACTCCCTGATAAAATATCAGTATTTAATATGATGTGACCACCAATGATCAATTATTCACTTCGTAATTTATCCAGAGCAACAGGGTCTCTTCCCAAAGATCATATTAAACCCTGGACCAACCTGGAAGCAGCTTAAATGAAACACACAAGGGAGATGAGGGATATATATGAGAATGTATCTATCTGATAGTCTTCTGAAACCAAATACAAATGATTCCAGCAGCCTGTTCCCTGCCATAAGGACAAACAATCAAGAGATGAATGCAGCTGTGAAACTTCATTATTAATCATGTGCACAAGGAGACTTGGGAGGGCTCTGCTTCCTTCTCAGATTATTTCTATTCTGGTGTGTATAAACTACAACAACTTCAAAAGACGGCAATCAAATTAAATGAGACTTTATAAAACAAACATCTGATTAACTGTGCAAGCCTGTTGCAGTAAGGCTGAAATCTAGGCTAAACACAAGTTGCCATATCGAATACTTCTATAGTCATAAAAATTACCCATGCAAAACTTCTGGAATAACCTCATCTCTACCACCACTTCTCACACACACAAAAGAAGAATATAGAAAAAAAGGAAGAAAATCAGATGACAGCAGGACATTTTTATCACAGAAAAATATCAGTTTGATATCCTTCAACTTAGGCAAATAAAAATCAGAGGTATTATCTTTAAAACAGCAGAGGCTCTGATTAGACAATCTGCATTTAGTTTAATCACTTATGACAAGTTTATAAGATAGTACTATTTTATTCAATTATTGCATCAACCTATGTATTCCAATCAGTGTCCTGCCCTGGGCAATTTCTCCTCTTACAATGATCCTACCCAGAAAAAACTCCTTCCAATGTGGAGCAAAGAGAAAAGGTCATTCCAAAATGGAATGATAAATTTGAATTTTTAAGTATATTTTAAATTCAGTTTTGTTTTATATACTGGGTGGAAAAGGAGAAATATCTTTTCAAATGACATTTGAGTAGTTGGCCATACTATTTTCCCATTATAAAAAAAAAAAAAGGTTTCGTTTTGAGGACATACAGAGCTGTCAGTTCTCCTTATTTCAGAGCCTGAAACCCATTCGTCTCCATGCTACTCACCATTTTCTTTTCTCAGCCTCGAAATGAACTTCTTTGGTGGGATCACGCCAACCTTCTTCTTCTGCGTGGCGATGCTGTGGAAAAGGTCTGCCAGACACGTCAACAAGTTTTCCTTCTTTTTTTGCTGGGCCTTGTATGCCAGCACATTCTCCCGGAAGGGCCGGCAGAAGTACAAGGCCTGAAGCACGGAGTTACAGTAGCATGTGTTTCCGAACTGCCAAAGGACAACAGGGATGGTTCAAATCAGGGTCCGGGGCTGCACCACCTCCGAACCAGGTGGGGAGAGGGAGTGGGCCACCCTCCGAGTGAACCAGCCCAGATTCCGCGTATCACAGCCCTGCTCACGGTGGCAGAACACCAGTATGGCACTCTGAACATCACCAGGGAAATGAACGCTAGTATATGCAAGCCTGGTAGCTCTCTAGCCCATTAAAAGTCTCTAAAATGATAAGAAGCACTCGGCCTTGATTTTAAAAAATCTAATGAAACTTTCTGGCGCTTAAAAAAGAGAGAGACACTGAAGAAGAAAAAAATCGACATGATGTGGAGACGCAGAAAAGCAGCTGGCAACACAAAAGATGTCGCAAGGCAACACATCAAAACTCCTATGACAGGGAAAATAAAAATCTCAATCAGAAAGAAATCCAGGAACTAGGAACCACTTGCTCAGCTAAAACAGTCTTCACCGAATGGGGACTTGTTTTAGTTTCTCTCTTTCAAGATTCCAGCACGCTTGCCATTGGCTTCAGACCACATTTCCTCACTTTCTCCAAAACAATCTTATTTCTGCCAAAGTAGCAATTGTCTCAATACAATAGTACCACCCAGTTCCTGGTCTCCTGCAATCTGATTAGGGCCCACGGAGTAATACTCTGACCTCTCAAAAGCCACGGATACTCAAGATTATGATTAACGAGGGAAAAAGTCATCATCTCCCTGGTTTTCAACTGACTATATAATAACCAACTCTGTGGGTGAACACATAGCTGAGACACTCACTTTAGAATTTTTCATGCACGTTAAAATGAAAAGGAAAACAAACTAAGGAAATCAGAAGATTAATAACAGATTACAAACTGCTGTGTAAGATTAAAATAGAACATGAGCATTTCAAGATTGGTTGTTGGCTTGTGTGTCGTCTGCCCAAGAGCAAGGCAGATGCACCACCAGCCTTAACGTGACATTTCTACGTATGTTAAGATAGAACACTTCCTATTTTTATATATTTTAATCTACTTTGACACAATTACGCAATGAGACAAACCTCTTTTTAAAGAGAAGCTGTAACTTTCATGAATTACCATTCGAAATAAACATAAATGAAACTATTAGTAAGTTTAGGTCTCACAATGCTTCCACAGACTAGGAGATGGCCTTAGTTCTTTTTTCCTCCATAGTCTGCACTTGTCTTTTCCCTGCACAAGGTAGAATTCCAGCAACTTGAATAACTATCCTCACAGAGCTTAAGCAAGAGGCCTTTGCACTGTGCCTAAAAAAACTGTATTAAAATTAGGAGTCAGTATTTCATCAACACAATGCCCTATATTCCAGTACTGTAGCTTCCTCCTACCATTCTTTTCTCTGTTACTCAGTACCTCACCTTCACCCAGACACCCTTTAGTAACACTTGGCCCTGGGCCAGTGGACAACGTCTGGGAAAGAAAAGGAACTAACATTGACCGAGTGTCCACAATGTGCCTCAGTCTCATGTCAGTACCTTCAATAGGAGCTCTCATGGATCCTTCATTATAGGCCAAGAGGTAGAAACCATTATGATCTCCATTTTACAGAGGGGGAAATGGAGACACAGAGAGGCCAAGTGACTTGCCCAAGATCGCACAGCTAGTGAACGGCACAGGCAGAATTCAGACTTAGGTCTGTACTACCGCAAAGCCAATGTCCACTCCATTATCCCACAGGCGGCATTCACTCAGAGAATGGTCCCAGCGGAAATTACCACCTATCACACCTGAACTGACAGACCACACTCAGAGCAGTTGTTCCAGAAAACCAGGTGCTTATGAGTTAACACCGGATGTCACTTAAATCCTCCACCCCAGAGAGAAAGGATCAGGTGGGGAAGAAAGCTCACCAGGGTGGTGGGCAATACGGCCTTACTACTTGGTCATAATCAACTTGTCTAGGACACAGGCCCTGGCAAGTATGGCCATCCACAAGGGGACCATTGCTGAGCACAAGCAAAATGAGGCCAAGGGATTTGGAGATAAACTGGCCCCAGTTTTCCCCTGACTCCCCACCCATGCTTCAAATACCAAGTCGTGCTGTTAAATCGCTACTGGTGATGAGCTGGAAACTCTTTCGATGCTCTGGCTGAACTGACGCATACTGAAAAAAAGCTACCAAGGAGCCCACCCAGATGGTGAAGGGAGAACATACAAAAGCAGATATTGCTACAAAGGCTAATAGTATCACTGTGAAAGTTATGCGTGCAGAAGAAATCTTTTAAAGCACAGGGGAAAAAACGAGAATCTGCCCCGATAATGCGCTAATGAAACACTTTCTTCTGGGGCAACTCATACTTTCAAAAACCGGACTAAATTTCCCCCACCCCAATATTTGCCACTTAACGGTAACCAAGGAGTACGAACGATTATTTAAAGCTTGATAATGACGAAAACGGGAATGGAGTTGCTTCAAGAACTCTAAAACATTTGATTAAGATACAGCACATTTTAAAATACTTACATTGACCAATCCGAAGTAGTGTTCATTGATTGGAAACTGCTCTGGACCAATGTCTTTTTCCAGAGCAGAGGCATTGGTGCCCTAAAAGAGAAAAATAACAGAAGTTCTGTCGTGTGTAAAATAGACGAGAAAGCAAAATGATACTTGAGAGAGTCCACTACCGGGACCAGCATCTCCTCGGGTGGCCTGGAGTTTGGTGACGGTCACACTGAAAGAACAGGTGTCAGAAGGAAACCGTAGATGAGGTAATGACATCAGCCTACTCCTCTCCTCATCCAACTTCATCATCCCCTCAAACCTGTTCCACCCGGCTTCAATTCTCCTCTGTTAGGAAAGGAGGTTTGGGACAGGCAAATCAGCAAATCGTCACTCAGAACTTCCGAATAAGACATTCTAAGCTCAGCCAGCTGCAGTAGCTTTTATACTACTGGTGTATAGAATCGTACCACCACTTTCAAAGTCAATAGTATCATCCTGACACAGATTTATCTACCGTGCACCCACTATGTGCCAGGTACTATTCTAGGCTCTGACAACAGAACAGTGGACAAAGACAGGCTGAAAGAAAAAGCAAGTACACTGGACAGTACATCAGAAGGTGACAAGTGCAGCGAAGAAAAACAAGGCAGGAAATGAGGGTGGGGACTCCAGGGAGTAGGGGGTGAAGGGGAGGCACGGAGGGGGAAGGAGTGGAGGGTAGATCATTGCCGCTTAAATAGGGTGGTCGGGGGGGCCTTACTGAGAAAGTGAAATGTCCAAGGAATGTTGTAAATAATGGAGAAACACAATTTAAAACCTAACAGTTTCAAAACGCATCAAATTGGTGAGCCATGTGTACTCAAGTTCAACACTCCAACACGATGATAATAAGTTCCTGGGTACTCCCACTATATGCCAGGAACTGCACTATTTATTCTCACAACATCCCATTAGGTAAGTACTTACTATCATAATCCCCATTTAACAGACAGGAACTTAAGGCTTCGAATGGTTTAAGAACCTGCCCAAAGACCACAGGCAGTAAGTGGCAGAGCTAGGACTTGAACCCAGGAGTCAGACTTGGGAGCCCACGGTCTTAACCAAAGGCTATGCAGAGCAATCCTATGACAAAACCATTTACTGAGCCCCGCTAAGGGCCAAGGGGTCATTGGCAAAAGCACACTGATTATCACTGCGCCCCACCCCCCCGCAAGGCCTGGAGGGGTCTGCTGGGATTAGGAAAAGTGACCAAAGTTCAGACCAATCAGGTGAGTAGTTAGGGGGTGGGTAGGACCACAGGCCCCACGCAGACCCATGGCTCTAACATCATCCTACAGCTTCTCACGTCCTCAGGCTATCACGGAAGACTCACAGCTCACAGAATCTCAGAGATTTGGGAGACAGGTATTTTAAAAAGAGACTGTTATGTTTTGTAAAAACTAAATCTGCTGCTGCTACTTATTCTGGGCCCATATAACTAGAATCTCCCATCCCAGAAAGAAATGGCCAAAAGGTGGGCTGAGAACCAGTTAAAATGGTCACGTGTCAACAAGCAAACATGAAATGCAGAATAACTCAATTCTAAGCAAACACAACCTCAGCAGAAATAGTACATTCCATCCCCTTATCATAATATCCTTTGTTTCCACTTGTTTTCTAGGTCCATCATACTGCTCCACCAATCTAAATTCCTTTACCCGTCATCGGAGACCTTGAGTTTAGCGGTCGTCTTTGTGCACAACAGTTTCACTATCTTTTCATGGGGGCGGGCGGGGGAGGCAGGGTTTCATTGCCTTCACAATAATGTGACTCCATATACAGGCTGGATTTTAAAAATAATACTTATATTAAAGCAGGATTTTATGGTATAGACAAAAATCACTAAAAGTTTTCAATAAAGCTACATCTCAATCACAAGTCGATGTAAATAATGTGTATTAAATATACCCACAGCCAGTTTTGAAACAACATTAGAATATATGGCTTAGAGCCCAGGAGGAATGTCAGATATAAAAGTATAGCACATGGAGACAGATCTCATTAAATCTAAAGATTCAATCCATGACTTCTGTTATTCGGGAATTCTTGGATGGAGTGCTTTTTTCTATCTTAATATTTTCCCACTGGAGAGGGAGCCGGTGGGGGGTGGCTGGCTGTGACTCAGGCTAAGTACAGTGACCCAGGGGCCGTGCTTAAGAGGAATAATACCCTGGGTGGGAGGAATAATATAATAATAATTATAATAATATAATAATACCATGGAGGTAGCAGGCCAGGAGCACCCCCAGCACAGCTCGGGGGAGAAGAAAGTGAGCTAGCCGTGTCTTCAATGAAACCTGGCCCTCCCTCCGGTCAGGTCTGCTCACACCCCCCCTCACAGCCCCCGCACACACAAGGTCTGGAAGGGTCAGGAGGGGAGGTCAACCGCGCTCTGATCCCCAGCATCGCTTCCAGACCCCTGCACCGTCACCCATCTCGTCAAAACATACACCCTCTGCAGCCCGTGCCTCCCAGCACCGTACAAACCCCATCCCTTCTCCTCGTCTCGCCTAACCCCTCCATGCCCCGACGACCTACCTTTACACCCTGTCTCCTGCCATCGTGCTGGGTGGCTTCAGGATCCACGTGGCGGTGCCTTCCCATACCCTGCTCTCTCAGCAACTCATGCCCTCTTTCCTAGCTGTCTTTTATTTCACTCCACTCCAGCTACCCACTGCCAAAGACACACCCCGGACCTGGTCGCCACCCCAAAACCCAGCCTGGCTGGACTCTGTCTGCCGGCTCATCCCATCACAGCCACTCGTACACCCGCCAGGACCCGTCGCTCCGCTCCTTTCTCATTCAGCTTAGAGTCCATGGCTCATGATGTCAGTGGCTCTTATAAACCCCCCTGACCTTATGCTTTGCTCACACCACCTGGCAAAAAACCCACCCAATGGGAACCAAATTATTCACCTCCTCTGAACATACGCCCAGACAGATGTGCAGCGCTAGGGGGGAGAAGGTGCACCTCAGGCTGATTGCATTCGCTCGAACTCACCAAATTCAAGCGGCCCACGTCCCCACCTTCCAAGAGCCTTTCTCTGAGGCATTCATTCTCCACTCCACAGCGACCTTTTCCAAACTTCCCCAAGCGCCTCAAAACTATATACCTCTCTGCCCCTCTCACTGGCTTCCCACTCAACAGGAAAGAGAAGAAAAAGAAAAACATTAAACCAGCAGAGAGGAACTCTCTTAATTTCACACTCTCAAACCTTCAAACCTATGCGCCTACCTCTCCCAATGATGGAGACCTCGCTCTCGTGCAGGTCAATTGCTCCCGCACTATTAGATCCTGCCCGGCGGAATTTAACATGCCTCCTTGTCTCTCATGTTAAAAATACACATACACGTCTTCTTCCCACCTCTCCCAGTCCCCACCCCCTTTCTCACCTCCCCTTCATAGCTAAACTTCTTTAAACAATTGTCTATTCTGACACATTTACAAATGAATCAGATGATTTCTAAGATTTATTTCAAATGATCCAGTGGGGAGAAGTGGGAGGTGGGCGTGCGGGGCTTATTATACTATTCCATTTATACTTTTACATATATGTTTACAGGCAGAGTAATGGTCTCCCAAAGATGCCCAGGTCTTCATCCCCAGAACTTGTGATGACGTCACCCTACATGGCAAAGGTAAATTTAGATTGTAGAAGGGCTTAATTTGCTAATCAGGACTTAATTTGACCTTAAGATAGGGGGACTACCCTGGATTATCCAGTTGGGCCCAACGTAATCACAAGCATCCTTAGATGTGGGAGACAGAGCAGAACAACAGACCGGACCGCTATGATGTGTGAAGGACTCAACTTGCCTTCACTGACTCTGTAGGCAGAGGAAGGGGCCAGGAGCCAAGGAACCAGGCAGCCTCTAGAAGCTTAAAAGGCAAGAAAAAAAAAGTTTCCGCTAAGAGCCTCCAGGAAGAACACAGCCGCACACTGCCTTCATTTTAGCCCGGGCGGGGCTAGTTCAGACTTGTGACCTCCAGGCTATAAGGTAATATACGTGTGCTGTCTAAGCTGCTAAGTTCACGGTAACTTGTTACAGCAGCAACAGACTAATACAATAGGTCTGAAGTTTTCCATAATACTCGCTAAGACCTGTCTCTATTTCCTCACCTCCCCATCTCTCCTCAAAATAACCCCTTCTGGATTCTACCCCTGATGAACTCCACACATGGTCAACTCAGGAAGACACATTTAGCTGTTGGCTTTCTCCAGGTGCTGTCTAAGGCCCTCTTCCCTCCCTCCATGCCTCTTTCTGTAGGGTCCAGGCAACAACCAGGCTTCAATCAGCAGCTGCGTGCCAACCATTTCCAACGCTTCACCTTCATCCCAGAAAGCTCACTTCTGAGCTCATTCAGGTGGGGTGAAGACACAGTTCCACTTGCTTGTCTCACAGGCCCTCAAAATCACTCTACCCCAAAACTAGAGCTTTCACTTCTCCTTCCCCTCAAATCCAGCCTCTTCCTGATGTTTCCCCACTTGCCCATGACGATGCCACCTTCCACCTGTGGCTCCTGCTAGAAACCTGAGGGCCACGCCTAACGTCCTTCTCGACACCCATCCACCACAGCACACTACTGACTGATCCACTCTCCTTAATCTCTCAAATCCCTTCGCTTCTCTTGAACCTCCTGCCACCAGTGAGACCAGGCCACCAGCATCTCTCACCTGAATTACAACAGCCTCTTAAATGGCCTCCGACACCCACCTTGCTCACCTCTAACCCCACCATCAGCACGGCAGCAAAACTGCTCTTTCTAAATACAAATCTGCTTTAAAATGCTCCAGTGACTTCCACTGCTGTCTCCAATGTCACCTCCTGCCACCCATTCTCTCATACACTTGGCCTACTAGGATGGCCTTTGTTCTGGTCCTCAAATATCTCAAGTTCCCTCCCATCCATCACCTGAATGCTCTTCCCCTGCTTCTTCACCTGGCTGTACCCTATCATCCTTCTCAGGGAATTCTTTACCGGCCACCCCTAGATTCAGGTAGTCTCTGTAATGGACAGAATAATGGCCCCTCAAAGATGTCCCCACCCTAATCCCTGGAACC